AATTATCATGTATCTAAGTATCATGTCTCTGTCATGTGTATCATGTGTCTAAGTATCATGTGTGTGTGAATTCTAGTTATGGAGGAAGCAAATTTAAATTAATAAAGAATTAGAAAGTAGGGCAGGCTAGTATTTTTAAATATGCAGATGAAAATGCTACTTAGATTATTTGAATTTTTTTATGTTTGCAGAACATTTTAGTTAAATTAATGAGGAAAAAAATAATTGTTTTCTCAATATATATATATATATATATTTTAATTTTAAAAGGCATTTTGATAAATGATACTTGATGAGGAGCGATAGGGAGCGTCTATTATGAAAAGCATAATAATACGAGTAAAAGAGAATGTTTCCCACTTTTCATGTCAGTTTAAGCTGCAAAGTCAGCGTAATTAAGAAGAATTTTGTTTGTAACCATTAAAGCGGTACCTATAATGGAGGGGAAGTATCCATTGTGTTTTAATTGGGAGATAACGATAAAAGTTCCCTAATTTGACTGATACTTAAAAATTTCACCTAGCAAAAATGAAGTAAAAGCCCTGTTTCTGGAAGCTAAATGATACTCTACTGCTGTCCCATTTTAATTGCATATGTCGTTAAACGGAGATAATTACCCTTTTAATTCCCACTTGAAATAAAGATAATTACGCCACGGTTTCGATATACCGTCTTTGGCAATGTCTCGTTTAAAGATGACGTTTGAATTCAATGGATTTCTTCAGTTAAGAGCTTATGGCATTATTCAGTTGGTACTTGAGATTAACCAAGGGGCAAACGAATAGAAATATCTAGCAATCCCTTTCGCTAGGCTCGCCTCCTTAAGAAGTTCTCTTCTGAATGAATCAGTATTTCTGAGAGTATATTAGCCCTGAATCAAACCAGATCTCTCTAAGATGACTGCCTGCCTATACTGAAGATCAAAATCGGCTGAGAATGTGTTTCAATGACTTAAAATATTCGCTATGCTAAATGAGTTGTACTTTTTCTATTTTATAAATTAAATTCATTCCTAAAGCGATTTCAATTCCAGTTATGCTTTGCTGCTTATTTCTTACTTCATCCGAATGATGAAAGCAATTCAAAATATTTACGAAATATGGATACTGAATGCCTGAAAATCTTGCATACAACTTCAAAATTTAATATAATTTAGAACAACACATATTGATTTTCTAAGCATATTTGTTTATATTTTGTATTTACAAACTTTCTTTTGGCACGATTGGTGATTTAGTTATCTGTTGTCTGGGTAGCGTGTATAGTTGTAACATGTACTCGAACACAGTTTTTAATACTCATATTGAAACAATAATGCTTAATATGAAATAAAATTGGCTTAATATTAGATATCTATTATTCTACGAAAGGACTTAAGATCATAACAACATTGCTAGTAATATTCACAACAAATAAAGCAATATTAGAATCGGTATTTATTTTGATTTCAAAGGTAATTATAATGAATTGTCTTCAATATGCGAAATTCTTTCTAGCAGTAAGAATCTTACTAGCTGAAAGTTTAATACTTTCTGCTATATTTTCTCTTTTTGTTACATTTCCAAACCGAATTAGGTTTTATTTCTTATATTTTACGTCCTCTGATTCATTAATGTTGAAGATGATGTCATAGTAGCTATAGAAGTTTTGACCGATGAGCCCCCTGAAATCAAAACACTTTTGATGACAGACACAGTACAGATTGCTAAAATATTCTGACACTTGTTTTGAATGTACGACTTTACTGATGTGAAGTAGCGACATCACTGCGGAAGTTACTGCTTTGCAATATAAGATCATGTCGTCTCACATCTTTAACAGCTCTACTATCTACTGTGGGTCTTTAGATTGAGACTTATGAGGAGACCGCAGAAGATTTGCTTATCTGGTTGTTGTCCGACGTGCATTTATTAATGCAACGTTGCTTGAAACATTTCACATATGCATCAGTAGTAAATTTCACAAAGTCTAGTCGAAGCTCCAGAGATATCGATATCATTTTTACCCCATAGCAGTTATTAAACAAGCTCTTGCTTCTTTTAAAATCATCCAAGTCTGTCACCCACGTTTTTATCAGAAGAAAGAAATCACAGAGTGTAATTTCTTTCAATAGACATAGCTAATCAATGAATTACATTTCTATCATTCCATTGTTACTTGACTTACTAATATGATATGGTTGTTTTGCTGAAGCTCTGTTGTAGTTGTGGTGACACACTGCTTTCTGTGGCAACCCTAGAGAATACGTCTATCACGAGGATCACGTGCGCAGATCCATTACGTCTACGTCTGCTTTTCTGTTTGACAGTTAGTTTCACTTAAGATTTTGTAGAATAAGAAATGGCGTGAAAAATAATTTTTTTTTTTTTTTAAAGTGTAGGCTCAGATTTTCGAACCTATCATTTACTTGTTAAACAACAAATTTGGCGAGTCTAGCCAGCATGAATGTCACAGGGTGACATAATCAATTTCGACACTTGATAATTTACGAAAATAAGAGAAGTTCCTAGGTGCACCATGGAGAATTTAGAAATACTAAAACAGAAGCGAAAAGCAATTAGGAGTGCATTTACGAAAACAGCTGATAAGGTGGAAGAACTGATACGATCAGATTCTCTGGATATGGACGATTTAGAAATTTATTTAGATCAAATTTCAGAGAAGTATAAAACTTTACGAAATACGGATGACTCTTTTTAGGAACTTCTACAGAAAAAAGACTGTGTTCAAGAAGAATACGAAAGGGAATTAAGTGCAGCTCAAGAATATTACGATAAATTATCTACGTTGAAAATTAAAGCCAACAGGAAAAAGGATAAGTGTTCACAGCCTTCTACTGGTTCAACGAATAGCAGTTCTTCATCAGGAATAGTTACGGCCGCAAAACAGAAACTGCGAGAGATCGAACTGGTGAAATTCGATGGAGACCCAAGAAACTGGCTGACGTTTTGGACGAGGTTTAGTAAAATACACGAAGATACTCGCATCGACCGGAGAGACAAGTTTCATTATCTACTACAATCTACAAAGCCTGAGACTGCGACAAGAGCAACAGTGGAAAGTTTTCCTGCTACGGAGAAAATTACGAAAAAGCCTGTGGAGTATCCTCAAAGAACGATTTGGAAATGAAAATGTTTTAATTCAAATTTATGTTAGAGAGCTATTAAAACTGGTAATCAATGACATAACAAAAGATTAGATCATTATTTAAATCTCTTTAAATTATCAGACAAAAGTTAATTATGCAAAAGTTGCAAATTCAACTACGCGCATTGGAATCACTCGGTTTAACTAAAGATAAATGTATAGTTGTTTTATTTCCTCTAGTGGAATCAGCATTTCCTGCTGATTTAATAAAATTTTGGGAAAGACAACGAGGTATGTCTCCTGAAACAACAGGTAAGAGTGATTTGGAGTTATTAATTGATTTTCTAAAAAGGGAAGTAGAAATTGAGTTTAAACTTACCCGTGATGTTTTGGGTTCTGATAAAGTAAGAAATAAGAAAAATAAGTTTTTTTGACACAAAACTTGTTGTTCCAACTGCATGTAAACTAATTAATGCAAATAGTAGTAATAGTAAGTGTAATGAAAATTTTCAAAAGTATAGAAAGTCTGATAGTACTTGTATTTTTTGTGAAAAAATCCCATTTGTTTGAAAGTTGTAAGGATGCTCTTTAATGAGTTTAGAATGTAAGATATCATTAAGAAAAAGAATGTTTGTTTTGTGTGTCTTAAGAAAAACCATAGAGCAAATCAGTGTACAGCTAAACATAGGTGTACCTTATGTAAAAATCGACATTTTGTGATTATGTGCCCTGATTTGCCTTCTAACAAAACAAAAAGTGTCACAAAGTTCAGGAATGACAAAAAAAAAAAAAAAAAAAAAAAAAAAAAAAAACAGGCATTCTTAATAACTATGTTAAGGTATAAGATGTATATCTTCAAACTTTAATTGTAAAAATTCGGAATGTTTCTAAAGAAATGTTTGTACGAGCAATTTATGATAGTGGTTCTATGAAATCATATTTATGTAATGATGTTGCTCAAAGGTTAAATTGTAAGTGTACTGGTGAATCAAAAATTAAGCAATTTCTCTCTAGTGGAGTTGAGACTTCAGAAAATGTGTATAAAAACCATTTTATTGAAGTAAGCAATATATATAGTAAATATAAGTGTAAATTAGAGGTACTTGGTCAAAACAAAATTTGTTCTGAAATTAAACAACTCCCATCTGGTTCGTGGTTACGCGAACTTAAGTCACATGGTATCAAATTAAGAGATTTATAAAACGGCCCATGTAATGTCGATAAACCGATAAAATTACTAATTGGTGCGTATTCTGCTGGTAAGTTGCTAACTGGAAAAATTGATCCCCTTACTTGTGGCGTCAGCGCGGTGCATACGCAGTTAAAGCCTGAACTGTTATGGGTAAATTTACTGCCACTGAGCCAACTGCATCCCTCCTAATTTCTACTCTGTTAGTGAAGGGTCAATGTATTAGTGATCTCTGGGAGTTAGATGTTTTGGGTATTAGTAAACCTTCTGTAAGTAAAACCAAAACTCAGTTACAGGAGGATACGCAAAAATATTTTGAAGAAACTCTTACGGTAAATTTAGAGGGAAGAGACGAAATAGCAATACTTTGGGTGTCGGATAGCTCGCTTTTACCCGAAACCAATGTCTTGTATGTACTAAGCGAAAATTAATGACTACGGGAAATTTTGACGCTTACGGAGACGTTTTCCAGAACTGTTTAGCACTCGGGATAGTTGAAAAAGTACCTGATAAGAATAAATATAAGGGTGTACATTATTTACCTCATAGAGCGGTTGTTTAAGAAAATAGCACGCCTATAAGACCAGGGTTTAACGCAAGTTCTCATTCGCCTGTTTACCCATTATTGAACGATTGTTTATCTACTGGACCAAATTTTATTGAAATTATACCTTCGATTCTAATCGAAGGTATAATGACTCTAACAGCTTTAAGTTCCCCATCATATTACCTTCTGAACATCCAGTAGTCAAATTATTGATATTAAGTGTCCACAAAGATTTGTTGCATGCAGGTACTACATTGTTGATGTCGCATTTAAGAGAAAGATACCGGATCTTAAAATCACGTAAAACTATAAGGAACTGTATAAGAAAATGAGTAACATGTCAGAGATTTAAGGCTAAAAGAGGTGAGACAGTCCCAGGCATTTTACCAAATGATACGGTTCGTGATTCAGCCATTTTTTAAATCGTAGGATGTCATTTTGCAGGACCCTTGTATTTAAAGGATGGACGAAAATCATATATTCTGCTCTTCACCTGTGCGGTTTATCGTGCTATCAATATGGAACTGGTTACCTCATTAACAACTGAATCATTTTTTCCGGCTTTAAGGCGTTTTATCGCACGTCGTGAACCCTCCCACCATATATTCCGATAATGGGCGAAATTTTGGACTGACTCTGCTCTAAGGCTGCTGAAAAGAGAATACAATGGAAATTTAATCCTCCATCCTCCGTTTGGTGGGGTGGATGGTGGGAGCGTTTAATACAAATTGTAAAACAAATATTGAGAAAAGTTTTAGGTCGTGTTTCTCTTAGTTATGAAGAGCTACTCACCGTCTTGTGCGATTGTGAAAGAATTGTCAACTCAAGACCACTTACATACGTGCCTAACGATATTGAAGCTCCCTTGCCTTTAACTCCGGAAAAAATTCTGCATGAAACTCCACAGTCGGGTGTACCTGATATTGACAACGTGGACAAAGAAAAATTGAGTAGAAGAGCGAAGTACCACCAGAGAATGAGAGAATTGTTAAGAGTGAGATTTCGCTCTAAGTATCTAGGACAGTTAAGACAGCAGTCTACCAGAAATTACAAAAATAAACCTCTCTCTGTAGGAGAAATTGTCTTGCTGGAGGATCAAAATAAAAGCCGTGCATATTGGAATTTAGCACGCGTTATTCGGGTGATCCCTGGTCGAAATGGCAGCATAAGAGTTGCTCGAGTAAAAAGTAATAATTCTGAGTTCTTGAGACCTATACAGAGATTGTTTAGATTGGAACTAGATAATATAATAGATAATACTCAAAATGATCATGTTCCTTTCACCACCAGTAGTGGTAGAGTTGTAAAATCACGAATAGTATAATTCATGTGTTTGAGTTATTATAATTTATTTTGTTGCGCTATTATTGTTGTATTATTCCTCAGTATTACTTTTGTTTTCAAGTAATATGATTTAAGTATTAGTAATTTTCTTTGTTACATAACCCTCATTTATATTGATGTAAGTTTTATGTTTTGAGTGTGTAGCCGTCTACTCAAAAGGTGGAAGGATTGTGGCGACACACTGCTTTCTGTGGCAACCCTAAAGAATCTGTCTGTCACGAGGATCACGTGCGCAGATGCATTACGTCTACGTCTGCTTTTCTGTTTGATAGTTAGTCGCATTTAATATTTTGTAGAATAAAAAATGGCGTGAAGAATAAATGTTTTTTCTTAAAGTGTCGGTTCAGATTTTCGAACCTATAATTTATTTGTTAAGCAGCAGCAATTATTCCTCGGTTTTCATAGACTTCGTATATTGGATTTGGTTTCAGTAAACCATTCAATATCCTACATTTTCTTCTTGCTGGTTGTTCTGGTTGGAGGTGGGCATAAATCTCCCTGCCTAAAACAATCTGTCTGAATTTGCTATAGACAATAAATAAATTAATATAAAAAACAAACAAATATTTTAAACTGTATAATAGTGGTATCTCTACTCTTTATGGCTGACTTTTAATGACACTAGAATACTGTACACATAATTTTTGGACCCTTCAGTAAATTGCTCTTTACACTCTTCATCTAGCATATTAAAAGAGAACTGGACACTATTCACTACACTTGAGCTGTATAGCCAATTATTTCTATACAGGGACTTGTAAAAATGTAAAGGTATTTCCATAAATTAAATAAATGAGTGCAAGATATATGTAAGAAGCTTGAATAATTTTAGACATAAATAGTTTTCTTTCTTTTATTAATTTTTTAATTTTTATTTCTAGTTTACAAAATATGAATCGAAAAGAGTGAAGACACGAATTAAATGCTATTAAACGAAAATAAAAAAAAAAATATCTTCTGTTGTTTCATAGATATATATTCATGTCTTCATAGATAGTGTTGTTTCATAGATATAACAGCATTCACAAAACTGGCTCGAAATCGGATCCACCGAATCGGGCTTTAAATTCTTTATTTTTAAATATTTTATCTATTTTTCACAAGTTTCGACAATATGTCAAATGCAATCTCGAAACTCAAAATTAAATTTGCAGTTTATTCAGGAATTCGTGAATCTCAAGAAAGCAGAAAGTTTAGGAAAACGCAATCAGTAATTAGGTACAATGTCATTATGTTGAGTTAATTGTACTCAAGAAATCATAATTTTCTGGGGAAAAAAAATAAGTATTGTTACGATATGTACAGGCGCGGTAAGATGGCTTCCCCGCAAAGCAGTTTTAGAGTTGCCATAAAATGGGAAGGGAAGGCAGGGTTGCAACATTTGGCGAGGAATTGTCCATTTGGGGACAAAATTGGCGATATACCATGGGCGGATGGATAACCTTCTGGAACGAATTCTTACCGGTTTAGTCCAGAATGTTCTCGAACACAAGCCGAAAGCTGTATAGAACCTGCTAGTCCGCAGTCAGTTAGTGTGTGCCTTGTCTAGCGAGCTAATAGTCAGTCATTGAGCGAGTGTCTCGAAGTCTAGCGCCGAGCTGGTCGTCGAGTGCATTCGAGAGTCTTTTAGTGTATGGCGAATAAGTGCATCGTCGAGTTTTGTCTTACACTGTGCTGAGTCGAGAGCTATACTCTTGTGTATCGTCGAGTGCATCGCGAGTTGTAGAGTGGAGAGTCTCGAGAGAGTGTGTTAAGTTCCGAGAACGACCGAGCAGAGTTGGGAGCTGTACGCTGATGCTTTGCAGTGAAGCTGTCTTCTCCGTTATTGCATGACAGTGTGAAGGCTGCGTCGCTGATTTTTCCAGCGTGCTTATACTAGATCTTCGACGACTGTAAAAAGTGACTTTGGAGCTGCCCTGATTAATATTGGTAAATAAAGTGTGTTCGGATATTTCATCAAGTAGTGTCGTCGATATTCACTCCAAATCCACACGAACCCGGAAGAAAATAACGTAACAGCTGGTGTCAGAAAAGAAAAACGCAACAGTATTATATCGTATTGATGTATTTATATCAGAAATACAATAACCATCATATCGTACTGATGTAGTTTGCCTTATCTACATCATTTTTAGTAATTCATCATGAATTAAATAAGTAATAGTTAAGGGTTTCTATGCTTATTAAATTTGCTTTAAAAATGTAAAGAAATAATTTAAATATTATATAAAAAATATTTAAGAAAGCTAGTTTATTGCTTACATTCTTTCCCTAAGAAATAAATCTACATTCCTTTGCTTATAGCGTTCATTGTATAATATATTCAAGATTTCTGTTAGGTAATCTGTATTATCCCGTACCATATATTTCAAATATACGGTGGCTAAAGTCACGAAATACATATAGTCAATATACAAGTCACGAAATTTGATTGTTTGTTGAGCCGTGAAATTGGACTACACCATTTGAATTTCCATTTGACGTTATATTTCCTTTAATTTTCATTATGCCAATAATGTATTAAACGGATTCGGATTATTTATCTGTGGAATGTTGTGTTTGAAATTTCAAAGCACGTTTTCAGTTACATGTTTAATGAATTATTATGATTGCCATATGGGAACTGATATCAGATTCCTCACATTCGTTTAAGTAATCTTTATTTAAAGGAATGGTTGGCATCTTTACAGTAACATTGGAGTACTTTTAATACAGGATAAAATATAAAGTTATGGAAATATTAGTAGCACAGTGCCGAAGCTGAAAACAGAATGAACTATGAACCTGATATGTGTAAATTATTCCTGACATAAATTTAGTAACTTTACTAATTTATTTGGGAATATATGTGCTGATTTATTTTAGAAGATGTATCATAATTAAATATACATTTTCATTTATTGCTCTGTTATACGTACTAAATAACTAGCAGCGACAGAAAGTAATTGCATACATTCCAGGATACGAAAATACCTAATCAAAAAATTATACCTCAGTTTTTTTTTATACTTGATATTCATTTTTTGATACTTGATTGAGAAAAGTTCAATCTTAAATCATTTTTAATTCCATGAATTCTACAAAGTAAAAAAGTCAAAAGAAAGTAATCATTAAAAAGCGAGAACTCAACTCTTATTGTAGGGCCTAAATGTTAGTTAATTTTAAATTTGATGGGCAGAAATTATTGTACTTTTTAATTTTGTTAAATTAGAGGTATCTTGAGAGATATTACCTCGTTTAAGATGTGAATAAGACAGTATTGAAAATAATGGCTTGAATACCGGAAGAGGTTAAAAAGAATTTCAAATAAGATAAAAAAATTATTGAACTGGAACAAATAAAAAATATAAATAAAATATAAAATTTTTAAAATGCTATATATTTCTATTCTACACTAGATATCAAAAATTAAATCCATTCATAAAACGTCTATAAGTTAGATATTATTGTATAAATTGTTGAAAAAACACTCTTAACAAAATACAGCCCAGAAGTATATCATTTTCGTTTTACTGTAGTTTACTTGATTTGAAAAAACGTTTTCCCATTTACTTGTTGCTTTAAAGTCTGCAGTATCATGTTTGCATTTAATCCCACTAGTTCTGAGAAACTTTTACTCTTCCCCTCACAGCAATCATGTGATGCAATTAAAACCTCCCATAGATTTATGAAATTTCAAAAGTACATTTTATTTTATAAATACAGGTTAAAGTATCTGCATTTTGTGTTTTTCCATTTTTAACTAAAACCTGTCTTCTTTTCATATATGCAACGATTCTGTAATTATTACTGTATACATTACGTGTAAACATTAATTTATTTTATTTTGTAAATATTACTTTTTGCAATAGGGTAAAAAAAAATTAAAATTTTTTTAATGATTTTTATTTGTTGTCACGTGATGCGATATCTATCTCCATTTAGTCTGCATTTTATTTAACCATGACTTGTACTGTTATTAATATGCATTCATGTCAGTTCATCTTTTAGTGTAGAATTCCTTGTTTCATACCTTTTAAATAGCATTTATAAATTGTTTATCTTATTTTTTTAATATTATTTTCTGTGTTTATGTGAAATATTTAGTTTTTCGAATGTTGTCCTGTGATGCGATGCTTCTCTTCTACGGGACGAGACTTTGTAAATTTTTCTACAGCAAATTATTCCTTGTTATTACGACTACATTTTATTTAACCATGATCAGACACTGTAATTAATCCCATAAATGTTAAATCATCTTTAGTACTACAGTACACAGAGATATATCATTCTATGCTTGAGAAGGAAAATCCTGCATCAGATGGTGTACAAATCCATGCCACGATTAAGGTAAGGGGTCTTCTAAGGAAATCTACCTGAAATTCTGCTATGAACAGTCGATAGAGCAAAATATGCAAATGAATAAATGAAAGACCAGCTGGTTTACATTCTTGTAAAAATTATCTAAGAAAGACGTATCACTGTAAATCTTGAACCTCAGCACCAAGAATTCTAATGTAGCCGAAGCAAAATTGTGAACTTAGAGTAAAAAGGAGGGGGAAAGAAAGATAAGGCACAGCCTGGTAAATTTTGGATGAGCAACGAAGTCATTTAGATAATATGCTGCGATTCGCAAATATTACACGAAAATAAATTAATAAATGAGTTGATATTTAAGTAAATTAAGTGCATCCTTTTGTTACAGGGCCTTATTTCATGCAAACACGCTTCAGTTTCCTATAAACGTTCAAGAGAGTTCTGCAAAATAAGCGTGAGCTTTGTTTTAAGTATAACGTATCTTTTGAAATAAATCATATATAGTTAAAATAAGCAAAATTATAATGTACTGATCCAAACAACCACTGTCAGAATACATTTCGAATAAACGAAACAGACAGAATAAATTTTAGCTCTTTGTTAATCCAACAAAAATAAACAGCTCAGTAAAACGATTGTGGCTAGTGGTGTTTCAGAATGAAAAAAAGTAGAAAGTTTCTTCTA